TACAGTAGGCTATAATCAGAATTTTAATTATGGTTTGGTAACCAACTTATCACAGTCAGATTCATACATTGAGCTAAAATGTGTGAATGAATTTAGTGGAGTGAAGTCAAAACTATGAAAGTAGATCGTCGTGATATTTTTATAAAAGTGAGTATAAAAGTAAACTAACTGTGATAATCATTCAACCTTTTGCTTTCTTTTTCTTTAGATGCAATATGTAGCATTATTACATAGCTACCCACCTCCAATTCATGACTCTAGGTAGCTAACAGTGAAAACAGGAACATTCATGGAATCCACAGCCAAAGTACTAAACGAAACCACTAGATCAAATCAGTACAACTATTGCATGGACTCTGTCAGACATCTGAATCCCTACTGACAAAAGCATGTTTTTAAGGCCTTAGGAAAGGCTGACAGGGCTCGGATCCATCTAAGCTTGGAGGAATGTGTTCTTAAAGGGCTGGTACTACTATAGCTAAAGTCTCTTCCTGGGCCCTGCTAAATAGCACTCCCTCATAGAAGGGACCCAGAACATGACTCTTCTGCCAGACCTAATGAGACAGATAGCTATAATCAGAGAGAAAATTTCCCTAAAATAACCCAATTAAAGCCTGTGATTTATAGCTGTCTGTTATTGTTTAGTCACTGAATAATGTCTAGCTCTTCACGAACCCATGGAACCCATAGTGCTCCTATGTCCTCCACTGTCCCCCAGAGTTTGCCCTAGATCCTGACTGGTTTAAGACAACGCAAAGATCGGGGTTGACCAAACATATTATCGATAACCTCAAGGAGCAATCTCAATAGCCGATTTTAAGGAGTAACTGGAACAAACTATGATCCTAGAACTCACAAAAATGCTGACAACCACCATCAAGACTATAGCTCTAAGTTAGAATACAGGAAAACAAAACTCCAAACCGAACTGCTCAAACTAAATCCCAGAACCGAAGAGGTAGCTGAACTTAAATGTGTTGTCAACATTCAGCTGCTCAACATTATGCTCCACAGAACAGAGTATCCTACAGAAAGGCCTCAACTATAACATAGATGATGCTAATCAGTTAGAATTCTTTGCAGCTTTGGCCACAGCATTTAAAACCACAGGACTTGCCACAGTGACACAAAAAGCTTCCTGGCTGAATTAAGAACTGAACCTTTGCCTTCCCAGACATAGTTTGTCACTCAAATCATTAAACCAGAAGTTATCTGTGGAAACACAAATATCTAGAAAACCATGCACCTGCACTCCTGAATGTGTTCATAAAAAGCAGGGTACAACACTAGTGAGACAAGCTCAATTAATATTGTTTTATGCAATATGCAAGAAGAAAAGGATAAAGATACACAAATTAAGGCAATACATTTTGGTTTCAGCTGGCCAAAAGAGATTTAAATATACAGATTCTTACAAACAGAAGCATCAGAATTATTTTTAAAAATGATTCATTGGAATGACTAGAGAACATAAGAACCTATTAATATGAAGTTTCTAAAGCATGTAGATTCAGCAGTTCTACCGACCTAAGTTTTTTAGACCAAAACAAATCTCAAGTCAAAATAAAAGAATCTTTAGTCATACAGAACGCTGTTAGCAATGTCCATTTTCATCTTCATAAAACATCTATACAGCAGCAACAACAAGCAATCAACTGCATACTAATCAGCTCTCCCCAAAATAGATTTTCCTCAAAAGTTATTTAATTCTATAGACCTCTGTCTAATCATTCAGGATCAAGCCAAAAAGTCACAAGCTGTCAAATAATTTGGGTTAGTTCAGCACTGTTACATTACAATCTAAATAGTTGTTTCAATGAAAACACCATTAATACTGAAAAATAACATGTTTAGTAACTTATGAGAAAAGGGCAGCAACCTGCATTTCAACAGCTTCCATGATTTTTTTCTTACATTGTCTCACATTTATATGTAGCTTCTGTTAGAAAATAACTTCTTAGATTTATTAAGAATCATTTTTTTCATTAAATAAATAAATCAGTATGTTTTTGACTCATTATTTAATTGGGTTCATAAAGTTTCACAAACTTTTAACCACCATTGTATTTCAATTGTTCGTCAGCTACACAGAGCAAATCAAATACTTTAACAGTGTAGGCTTGTTAATCAAAAGGTCACCAATCTAGCCTCTACTCATAATGGATAAAAAAATGTATAAAGATTTGTTCTAGTCCAGTTCAATATCCATGCAGAAGATTTGTAGTAGCAATGTATAAGAGGGTGGGTTTTTTTGCAAAATATTTAATATTTTACAGATTATGGGATGTACATACCCTTAGTGGTCTATC